TGGCCCTTTGGGTGGTTGCTATAGAAGTTCAAAATTTGACCCGGATGTGTTCCTATCATGTGAACGGATGTTTGAAATTCACCATCGTTTGTTCTGGTCACAAACACATCCAAGAATGGGAGCATGTTTTCTGCCTCTAACTCCATTATAAACTGAATCCCATCCATTGCATTGTTCAGCAGTTGGTGTGCGATTGCTACTTCACTGCGTTTCAGTATTGCAGATGTATCGTCAACATAGCGTACCCACAAGTTCGTGTTAATAGCTGGTAGTAGATCTTCCAACTTTTGCATGACGATCTCAGCGATCAGACCTGATATTGGTGATCCCATCGGTGCCCCTTCACTTGCTCATAGATCTCTCCGTTGAACGAGAAGTAAGTTATGAGGCATGGTTGGAGAAGCGTACAAATGCTTGCAGTCGTAATACTCCCAATTTTCTCATCTCTGTTGTTCAGGCGTTCTATGATGGCTTCTTTTGCTAGTTGCATATTGACAGATGTAAATAGAGCGGTGACGTCGCAGGAGACCATCGTTTCGTCATGATCCATATGCAGGTTCTCAAGCTTCTCTAGAAATTGCTTGGCGTTGTTTACGGAGTGCTGCGAACCGTTGAGTAGATGTTTGAAGCGCCTCCACAATTCCTTCGTCAGGTTGTAGGTGGGTGTACCTGGAAGTGAAACAATTGGCCGCAACGGAGCACCCTATTTGTGTACTTTTGGGAGCCCGTGGAATTGGGCGATGTTTGAGGCACGAGCTATCATTTTATTCCTTTCAATTTCCGTAATTTCTTTCAACTTTTGTAGTTCATGCAATGTTTTGTTTATTTTGTTTGTTAGCTGCGACGTCGGATCGAAATTAGTGCGCCTGTATGTGCTTGTATCGTTCAGAAGTCGTTTTGCTTTCTCAATATAGTCTGCCTTATCCATTATGACTGTCATACGTCCTTTGTCTGCAGGAAAGATAACAGTCGACTCGTCGGATCTCAGGGCTTTCATTGCTTCGTGCTCTTGTTGAGATAGGGCATTGTATTGTTTGTCGTGTGCCACAGCAGGGACGATTGTGTGTCGGATTTGCTCCTGTATCTCTTCTCTAAGTCCATTTGACCGTAGAGCGTTTTTGAATTCTGCTAAAAGGTCCGTGGTTGCCGCCTCTTCGATGTTATAGTTCAATCCTTTGGTGGGTATCTGCTGCTCTGTCTCACTGAGCGGTCCTTTAGAAAGGTACTTGATCCAGCGGTTGTTGTCAACTCCGTATTAGCAAGCGATCTCTTCACCAAGCTCAGAAAATGCGAGCAAAACAGTCTGTGCACAGAACTGCTAACAAATTGGCTAAACCAACTAAGCCACAAGCTGATAATACTGAGGCAGCCCCAACTTCTGACTGCAAAGTAATCCTATCAGATCCACTGAAAGCGGCACATAATAAAATTAACTTTCTTGAGATCCAATTGAGCGCACTCAGAAGCAACATCTCTGTACTGAGCGAAGCTATATCAAAAATGATGCCACTTGCTCAGCTCTCAGGAATCACACAGGCCAATGATGTAAATGAGCCCAAGCTAGCAGGTGAGCTACTTATACGCATTGCAAACGAAGTTTCCGAACGAATGCGCCGTACAAAGTATGTAATGTTATTCAATTTCCCCAACGAAACCAAGTTAGTGAAGGTGAAGCACTAGCTCACCAATCTCTGTAACATGACTCCCGACTCCTTCGAACTCAAACGTCTACGAAAAACACCCAAATGTAAATCGTGCCCTCTACTTATCACTTTTAGATATCAAGTACTGGCCAAGAATTTAATAGCAAAACAATTCGTTATGCGAGGGTCAGCCAATTTGGGGTCCGTCGTGATCAAACCAGACAAAGCACCTCTGCAGAGAGCAGTTGCCTCAACCAATAAACCTCCGCCTAGGCAAAGGGCGGAAGGTTCCCCCACCGCGACTGAACTTGCTACCTCACTCCCAGTAGATCTCGCTCAGTCACAAGAGCACGTGGACCCAAAGGTGACACTGGCCTACAGCTCTGAGCTAAATTCGTCCAACAGGGTGAAGACGCTAGCCCTTTCGGTAGTGCAATATGAAGCTGCTGTCGGTCAAGATGAAGTTGAGTTAGCTAAACCTAACCATTCCGACATGTGTGACACTGATAACAAACTTCTGACAGATGAAGTTATTGGTACCACATCCAGTGAACCTATGACAAGCACCCAATGACTACTAAGGAACTCTCACGCAACCGCCCAAAACGAAGGTGCTTTAAAAAGCCTGCCTCTTGCAACTCCGACGTGCCTAGACATCAACCCGGAGAACGTCCCAAGGAAAACAGGCAACCCCACCCTCCGTGCTACCTAACAAGTGCTCATCTCAGAAGAGACAGATGGCAACCTTAAAGGCACTATCTAATAATTAGGTACCACTGTTGGAGACCACGACTACCAACAAACTAGTGCCGCCCCCAGAAAGCCATACTTGCTTCCAACTCCAACTGTTCGCTATATAAAAGCCAATGTCCTCAGCCACAGCCAGAACATGCGCTACTCCCGCCCCGCTCCCGGTAGCGCTGATGCGAGCAACACCACTGCCCCACTTCACAGCCCCAGCCCGACCAGTCTTTTAACCCTAGACTGTTCAATACAACCAGGTCCGCTGGCGAATCCACACCCCAAATCCCTAAAGCCGCTATTTCCGCGGTGCTATCAAACGGCCAGTAACTATAATCAACTGCAGGTACCCCGCTACAAACCTGCTTCTTATAGAACACTTCACGAAGTAAAGAAACACACCATCCCACCCTTGCCTGCAAAGATTAACCGCCCGCGCCCTACAAGCCCATCTATTACTGAACTGCCGAACAAGTCAGTAGCATCCCCGCTCCTTTTTTATGGAATATGGCGGGCTACGGCTCGCCACAACTCACGAGACTTTTGGACGAGGCTGCACTCTACCATCTTTACAGGCTCTTAAACATCCCACCGCTGCCCTTGAGCAAGCGCTGCCCACCCCTCCAGCAACTCATGTAGTCGTCGGCTCAGTAAAAGCTAATTCCAGAAATAGCATACATTATCAGTCCCTATCTTCACAGGAGCACATGCTCAAAAGTTCCCCGCTGCGCAACTCAACGGCCCCGGCTTAACGGCAACGAAAGTTTTTGCTTCCCCTGAGACACTTCTTGCCACACCCACGAGCTTGTCTTCCACGCATCCAACTGACGACCTGACCAGGAGACTCACTATTTCACGCAAACATGCCATCAACCCGCTCCGGGTCTTGGAATGCGATAGAGACTCCGCAGTAACCAACTCACATCTGGCAGAAATATGCCCCTCAGGACTGCACGCCCACTGTACTCCATCTTCTACTGCTTTCGTATAACAAAACCCTGCCAATACCTTAGCCATCGCCAATAACCTTCCCCGCACTCACAAATCTGTCTCCTCTGTTTCGTTTCAGCGTGGTAACCAAGCAGTTCCACTCCTTCAACCCGACCTGCTCTATGATGACGCGGACAGTAAGGTTTTATCTGACCTCTGTGATTTTATAACTCTTATGACTCCTTCTGAGACAACAGCAATTATACCCACGCACACCACTCAGATTACTTCTGTCTCTGATAATGTAGCAGATGCTCACTTCTGCAATGAGGCACTCACTCTACTGCTCATTAACGCAAGGTCCATCAAACATAAGATGCACCTTATCAACCCCGTCATTATCCTATCCGGCCCCCAGGTAGTGCTCATCACAGAAACATGGCATGATGCTAACACTCCCGATGCACAGCTGCAAATCCCGGGCTGCACCTCCTTCAGCAATGGACGTACCAACCACCGAGGTGGCGGATACCGCATTTACGTGCGTGCCGATTTCGGGGCGCCATCGTTTCAGGAACTTTCAATCGGCCCTCTGGAAGACTCGGTTTGGATTCAGACTAGTAGGGAACAGCACGATATCTTAATTGGCTGTCTGTATAACCCTCTACACACTAACACAAGCGGTATACGCAACCTAGTGGAACTCTTCACGGAAGTATCCCTATTGCCTACTCACTATAAGATAATCGGTGATGACTTCAACACGCCACAAGTGGCCTGGCAAACGCAATCTGCGCCACCCAAATACCGTGCCTTTGTGGACACCACATATGCACTTGGGTGGACTCAACACGTGCATACACCCAATAGGCACAATAACACCTTAGATTTACTTTTTACAAACGGAGTTGCTCATGCATCTGCTAGCGTGCTTGATAATCTCCCTGACTACAATCACAAAATAGTAAAACTTGCCTGGTTATAGTCCCCGTCGACCTTGAAGTTGAACTGGACCTGGGCTGCTATCTAAGCGAACAACTTGAACTTGACTTCTCAGAGTCCAAAGTAAAATCCTTTTCTTAAACATTAGCCACTTACTGTATGTCGACATAATCACAACTCATTATTTTACGCGCCACTTGAACTTGACCTTAACCTTGACCTTCAAGTCGCAGTGCTGGAGATCTTTCTGCTTACCGGCACACGAAACGGCAACTCGTTGTGGAAACTTGTTTCTTTTCTGGATCCTGTCCTGTCCCAACCTTTCAGGCTTTTTGGTTTTTCCTGCCTTGCTTTTACATCAAATATTTTGGAGGATGGGAAATACTTCCGGTGGACACAGGCGGAGACCTTCGCTGGACGAAGGCTATGCGGCTGGAGGGAACTTTGGGAAGAGACATATGTTTCAGGATACTCAAGTACTCACATATTATGCTCCTACACCTCTCTCTAGGAATGCCCTGGCGACGATTCCATCATTAGTATCCTCACAGAGGGGATCGAGATTAACGCCATTGCGGATCAACTGCGGGATTCTCGTATCTGCAATTCTGGGGATAGGGCGATGCTCTATGTAGGGGGAGGTGGTATGGATTTTGCAGACGAGAGCCAGCCGCAGAGCGTCCCTACGGTCTTTAAATGGGAAGGTGGTGGAAAGGAAGTGTACATCAGTGGGGCGTTTAACGGATGGAAGTCAAAGATCCCGATGGTTCGAAGGTGTGTCTCCAGTTTCTAAAATCAACTGACGCTTTGGGATGTCACTTTCCGCCTTACTTCTAAGTATACCAATCAGCTAAGTCTGCTTCGGGCATCCAGTTCTACGTGTTTCTTCCCCACTACCTAATTTATCGTGCATTTTACTATATTTACCTGTGCACTGCTTCTATTTGTTGCTAGTTCCTTCTGTGACTTGCTCCGTCGATCGAAGAATCACTTATTATCACCATCATCGTACGTTAGCTCGTCGAATTTTGCATGGAAGAGAAGAGGTTCCATGACAGTTCTGTCGCCTTCTGTCCAGAACAAGGAGCATGTTGCGACCTCGCAGTCAACAGGGGGCTGGAGCAGTCGTAGCAAAACAGTATTCTACTGATGTTCTACGTAAGTGGGCGTCCAACAACCACTTGGAATATTGTTCAGCCTTTGCGTTGACAACAGTCCAGAATATTTCTAACTGTTTACCTGACTAGATAGGGCGACGTCAGAGAGAACCTGCAGCTTTAGGGATCACAAGCGTGCCTTGTAATCTGAGGTCGCGTGTTGAAGCCTGCGTAGGTCGTCCATCGCACTATCCTTAACCCACGCCCGACTAGTCGGTACTGCGTACCGGCATACTGCTGATGCCTTTCTCATATATTGAACTAGAAACTGCTCTAGTTCGTTTCGACGCTCATCTCTTAGTAGATGCTTGGTAAAGACTAGTACTAACCGCCGCGACCGTGGTCCGGTGGGTAGATCTTCATCTGCTGGAGTCAGACGGGCTAGGAGAGGTTCCACAGGCGAACTTCGAGCCACGTCTCTGGGTCTTTTCAATCAGGCACACTCAGGCAGCTGGTAAACCATACTCAAGAATTGGCCGTACTTGAGAAGTGATAAGCCTGAAATATTTGTGTAATTCTGCAGTGTTACCTTATGGCAGCACATTTCAGCTCGTACTAATAGTGCACACATGTCTTTCTCCTTATCTACAGTTTTGAGAACACTCCCACATAATGTAGGTCCTGTGACAGACGCAGCAGTCGGAAGGACGCAACATTTCTTGTAGTTTTTTGGTAAGTCCCAGTTGATTAACCAGTGGTATAGTGGATCAAGCTTGGACTTTAGTCTATCAGTGACATCGAGGTCCGGAACTTCAGGCTATACATTGAAGTCCTCTGTATAGATAAGGCATTCTGTGTAAAGTGTTGTAGGAATGTCATTGATGAACATCTTAAAAGCTTCGAGTTCAAGAGCAGAAACTTATGGAATCCCGCTGTAATGAGATCCGGCTGGTAAAGCATGATTCTACCTTCCAGGAAAACTGCTATCCGCGGGTAAAGCCCGCCATTGATACCACTTTCGCGGAGCTCAGGGTAACTTCATCTGGTAATATATCGAGCGCTTTGCTGAAGTTGACCAAGATAGTGGGCATCTGTCGACTTTTCGCACTTTTCTTTCACAACTAGTAAGTTAGTGGTGCAGGTGCATCCTGAAAACCATGCTACGTAAAGGAAGATTTGTTTGGATCATCACAGGACCTCTGAGGTGTGCGTTTGATAATCTTTTTCATAGTCTTGTAGATTATAGGGGTCAAACAGATTTGGCGATAGTTCATGGGGTCATAAGGATTGCTACCTTTGCATTCGAACATCAACTACTTGTTTTCCAGTCACAGGCAGATGACAAGCTCTCATAAGTTGGTAAAAGCATTAACATTTGAGTGTGCCTACGTACTCAGCAAATGCAGCCCACCAGTGGCAAGTGAGGAGTTTGGATCCAATTTAAGTAAGAATTTTTTAACAATTTTCTGTTGAGTTTGCTGTGGTCCATATTTTAGCGATGCGTAGCTTCCTTTATATTGTTCGGTGGCATCTCCAATTAGTGTACGGAGGAGTAATGTGTTAGATGATCCGGTTAGGCATCTTTGTATGGTGCAAAATAACGTGTAACATACCAAAGCGCCCATGTCACATCTGACTTTGATCGTACTCTTAAAATACGCGTAGAGGTTTTTGGGTCGAGTGTTTTCTTCCAGACTATACGTGATGTTGCCTCTTCTCGCACTTTTTCAGCGAACACTGTTTCCTGTGCTTCTGGTAGTTGCAATAGTCCTAAGCCAGTTAAGAGGCTTAATCTGTCCCATAGTTCCCTTTACTAATTCATTGGAAGCCTTAGTTCTTGATCGATCCAAGCGTACCTTTTGCGAAATTTTATTCTCGGGTTTTGGACAACCCGCACAATGATGTTCATTTTAGAGCGCAAATGCGTCCAGGTACACTCGGGGCCTAGTTTCGAGGTACATACCGATCTAGCGTGCTAGCCGCCACTTAGGTAAGCTGCGTTGATGCGCCAGAGGTTTCGGCAGTAGACCCTCTGGTCATGAGTGAGGAGTCATTACAGATATTCATTTACGTTTTCAGCTAAATGAGGACCGGTTGTGGTTGCATCGACCACATACCATAGAAATTCCGAAGCTAGCCATCTCCACATTCTGACCACCACTCAAAGTTAACCGGTTTCTTTTCATTGCTTTAACGTTCATGTAAGCCTTATGGCTCCAGACCTTTGTATTTTGGCCACCTTTGTATGTTACCACTTTAGTCCAGTCCCCTTGTGTTATTAACTTACGGAGGTTTTACTGTATTTACTATTCGTTAGGTGTATGTGAGGTGACACACAGACCACCGAATACGGTGGTTTTCCTTGACTTGAAAGCCGCCTTCGAATCTGTTGACCGCGCCAGCTTGTGGCAGTGCCCATTCACAATGGGCGTGCCAGATAAACTCCTTTCCATTACAAAGTCTATTGTGACTCCCGAAGATGTATAAACTTGTACGGGAAGCTGTTTTCTGAATTTCCCACAGCAAATGGGGTTCAGCAGGTTTGTCCATATATATCTCTCCTTCCCAAACTTTGTAATCGACATGTCCATGCATGACTCGGTTCCTTCAGCCTCCACCAGAGTGGACATACTGCACTGTTGGACTGACAAACCTTGACATCAGTAGTACCTTGAGTATGCTGATGAGATAACTCTCCTTGGGTCTGACACAGTGGCTATGCAAAAAAGAAAGAGGGCATCGGCAGTCCGCCGGTACACAGTACCGAAGCTTCGCAGTCACAACCATTACCAGTTCTGCGTGGGCTAAGGATACTTCGAGGGCCACCAGATTCCCTGCGCAGGCTCGAACCCGCGACCTCCGGATTCCAAGCCAGGCTTGTGATCCTTTCGGTTACAGGTCGGCAATGTCTATGCAAACATTCTTGGATAGACTGACGCGTATCGTCCTATGCTTCGGCATGTGCTTTGCACCTTCAAAGTGCAAAACACCGTTACAGAACTGAACCACTACACCACCGGTTTTGGCTGTCTTCGAAAAGTCACTGGAAGTAGTGGGTCAGTTCATGTGCCATGGTAGATGGGGGATTCCTGGGTGGTCCATGTCAGTGGTTGGGGATCCTATCAGACACGGCGCAGTCGCGCATTCGGTGACATACCTGCATTTGGTTTATTGCATCTGATTGTTAATTTCCATTCCATCCTGACTAGTTTAACATACCTCCTTCTTGATTCCATTTTCTTTACATTCTATTCCCATTCAACTCCTTTTTTGCGTTTGTCATTATTCTGGCTACTGGATCCACCCCACTTCGTTGCTCGGAACATAGTTGTTCAACTGAACTAAACTGACACAGGTGAGGAGACGTTGCGTCCGCTTAAACGGAATAGCATGGGGACCAGTATGACCAATTGCTGGACGAGTGGCCATTCTAGAGATGTCATATAGTACTGGTGTGGGAACTAGATCGGAGATGTGCGGTGGTGGTAAGTTGGCATCGGACTGCTAAAATAAGGCCACCATCACATGACTCTGAAGATAGCCTGCAGTGGAGCGGATCCCAATCAACAGCAGGTTCAATAGTCACCCAAAATTAGACGGTTCTTACCATTCCCACAGATTTTAGGTGAGTCCGGAACGCGGTCACTGTTATCTGACGGGCATTGTACATGACACAGAACGTGAGAGGTTTACATCCGTCGTGAAGCAGACACTATAACATTTAGGTGCTGTCGTCACTTATTGCTTCAATAGAGGATTACTGGACCCCGGTCTTCGTTTCACAGTGATAAGCTCGCGAAAGCTGCTACCCTAGGATATGTACATCGCCATTGGGTGTATCCGGAGATAGCCAAGTCACTGTGAAGACTAACAAATCTGGACATAGATCTGAGGTTAGAGAGAGAATCTCATTCCTTTTGTTCCTCATGCTACGGATATTAATAGACATTACCCGTAGTCCAAATATTGACTTCCACTTTACGACCCGGACAGGACATGGATCGGCATATAAGTAGCTTAAGTGATTCTCTACACAGCACGAAAATCCACAATGTGAAGTTTGGTTTTACCTTTTGCTTCTCGAGTTATTAGCTCAGTTTAACAATGTCCTACAACAAAGATCCATCAGAACATAGGAAGTTCCCACATGAGATTTGAGGTCCGATTGCATTTACGGCAACATTCATCTTTGTAGATGAATTCTAGAGGGCGAATCTTAGAGGTGCCGTCCTGCTTTGTGCCAGGACGAACATTAAGAAGACTACGCGCTTTAGGGAAACCTGGCTGTCCAACGTTCTCTTCACTAATGTTTTCTTGTCAGGTTCCGGAGCATTGACAACAATCAGACACCGCCCACATGATGGGGGTCTGATTCCCTTAGAAATGACCGGCTTTGGTAGTCGCAGGTTTGTCTTAATCGGGTTTTCTAGCTGATTCATCCTCTCCTGCACGAGTTTTAATTAGAAGAGTTAAAGTTTTCTTTGTCTTAGGTATTACGACCTTTGTTTTACCTTTGCGATTATCTGTATCCAAGGTAGCTGTCGCTCTCCGGTGCACAACAAAGGCATAGGTTTTCCCTAGAGTATACTTAACAGATGTCAACCGATCCGATGATGAGGCAAAGGGATTTTGGCTGTCACCTCTCGCTCCTAGTAGTACCAGTTCACTTTTGAGTAT